TTCCCCGACCCCCCAGAGTCCTGCTGGAACCTGGGGAGACAAGATCCTGTTCCCACTGGTCATGAGTAGGTTTTCCGCCCTGGTGCCCCGAGTCCTCGCCATACATAAAGTTAGTAGGGTCTGCAGGTCTAGCCGTGCCTACTACCACAGCCTTCGCAAGTCTGGGGAGGGTGGAGGCAGCAGGCTGGTGTTGGGGCCCCCAGGGTCACACCCAGCCCTGGTTTTAAGGACGCCCCCTGCAGGGCCTGGAGAAGGTGCGTGAGTCTTCAGAGCCAGACCCCAAATAAGAGAGAGGGGAGAAAATCTCGGTGACGCCTCCACGTGCCCAGTCTCCTCCCGTGTGGGAGGGGACGGTGACAGCATTGACCTCGGAGTGCGGTTGTGCGGTGTAAAGGGATGGGCACACATTTGCCTCCCTGTACCAGTGTTAGGTCTGGCCTGGGGTGTGGCTGGGTTCCAGCAGCTGCACTGAATCCCGTCCCCCTTTCCCCCCCCCCCCGCACGGCGGTGCCCGTTAACTTTCAGCGCCTCCCCCAGCTCTGATGCCCACAACGCCTCCACCTCCCTGCACGGCCAGCCTGTTGTAGGAAACCTGCCAATTCACGGTGTGAGCTCGGGTCGCTTGTTGGACCTCGCTGCATCTCCTGTTAGGCTCAGAGCTCCTACTGTCCTTCTCTCTCCTAGAAATCAGACTGTGCCCCTCCCCACAGACAGAGGGGGGGGGTGGAGCCACGCTGTGGCCTTGTAGCCCCGCCCCTTAGCTGCTGCTTAGGCTGGGATTCGCTTACTGTGTCTGCCTCTGTAGGCTAGGCCAGTCGCGTAGTTTTATGGTGTTTTACAATTGTTGTTATAGTAAACATAATGACCAAAGCAACATGGAGAGGAAAGGACTTATTCAATCTTACAGGCCACAGTCCTTCACTGAGGGAAGTCAGGGCAGGAATCTGAGGCAGAGGCCGTGGAGGAATGCTGCCTGGTGGCTTGTTCAGTTTCTAATTCAGGGCCATCTGACCAGGGGCGGCAGCGTCCACGGGGCCTGGGCCCTCACATCCCACTTCAACCACACAAGAAAATGCCCTACAGACTCCCTACAGGCCAATCTGATGGAGACATTTCCTCAGCTCGGGTTCCTTTTCTCAGATGGCTCTAGCTTGTGTTGGGTTGAGGAAAAAAACCAAAAAATTAATCAGGACACTTGCTGTGACGTCTCCCCATCTCCCTGAAAGAGAATCCAAACCCTCTTTGTTCTCTAGATCCGAAGTCTGCCTCCCCCTTCAGGATCTCCACCATGCTGTACATGGTGGCCGTTTCTTCTAGTCTCCCCCACCCCTGGCCCCACTGGGACTGCCTGAGGTCATGTGACTGTCCTAAGAAAGCCCCTTCTGGGCTGGAGAGATGGCTCAGAGGTTAAGAGCACTGACTGCTCTTCCAGAGGTCTTGAGTTCAATTCCCAGCAACCACATAGTGGCTCACAAGCATCTACAATTCAATCTGGTGTATATGTAATAAATATTAAAAAAAAAAAAACCTTCCGAAGGGTTAGTCATGCCTGTTCCTTCCTGCAAGCCTCCGCCCTTCTCTTTTTTCTAAGGCCTCCCCGTCTCGCCTGTCATTAACTTGGGGTGGGCTCGGGCCTGACTGAGATGTCAGAGGTCACACATCTCCCTCAAAGCAGCAGCAGGGGACGAGGTCAGCACCCTGAAGACCCCAGACTGACAACCCCTGCCCTGCCACGCCCGGCTGGCTGGGTGATTCGGTGCCAGCTCCTGGAGCTTTCTGTGTTTCTGCTCCGCAACATGATCGGGTCTCATGCCTTCCCACCCCGAGGGCCGGAAGACATTACCGGAGGGTCATTTTCATAAAGGTAAAATCATGGCTCCATTGGGTAGAAAATGACAGGCGTCAGAGATTTGTTTGTTTTTATGTAACTCATTAACGCGAGAGGGAACCAACGAGATGCTGGAACCCAGCGCTCAAAAGAGAATTCTGGAAACAGGTGTGTCGTCAGCTGGGGATGTCAAATGCATTTGCAAAGGGCTGAGATGAAGCCGCAGACAGCTGTGGGCCCAGCTGTGGGTTGACTGAACTCTAACATACACACTCATGTCCACCCTCTTGGTCAGAGGCGGCGCTGTGTGGACAGGCCCGTGCTGTGAGAATAGGTTTGTGCTGTGTGGACAGGCCTGACATCACACTCCTGTTCCAGTTCTGCTGGCTCCCGTCAGTGATGGGCTGTCTCTTGGAAGTCCTTGTAAACCCTTTCTCCCCTAAGTTGCTTTTGCTTGTGGTATTTATTTATTTGTTAATTCCAAAACAGGTTTCTCTATGTAGCCCTGGCCGTCCTGGAACTCACTCTGTAGACCAGGCTGGCCTCGAACTCACAGAGATCCACCTGCCTCTGCCTCCTCCTTTCTGGGACTAAAGGCTGCGCCACCACCGCCCGGCTGCTCCCAGCATTTGTCATAGCAACGGGATAAAGCTAGAACACTTCGGGATCCTTTCTTTCTCCTATGCCCCAATCTCCTCCAGGCTGCAGAGTCACAGTACAGACCCGCTGTGGCTTTATCCTGTCCCCGATGGGCTGTGCATTCTCTAAAGGTAACGCTGGGTCCTCCCACCTCCCCAGTGTCGGCATGGGTCCCGGTACAGACTGTTGTATTTTCTTTTTTTTTAAACATGTATTTATTATGTATACAGCATTCTCCTTGCATGTCTGCCTGCAGGCCAGCAGAGGGCACCAGATCTCATTACAGATGGCAGTGAGCCACCATGTGGTTGCTGGGAATTGAACTGAGGACCTCTGGAGGAGCAGCCAGGGCTCTTAACCTCTGAGCCGTCTCTCCAGCCCCCAGACTGTTGTATTTTCACCTCCTGCCTTGGGAACACACCGTGCTGGCTGCACTAAGGAGGGGAGGGGCGGGGCCCAGCGTTCTGCTCCTTCCTGTCCCCTGCTTGGACTACTCATCCCACTTCGGAGATTCCCCTTACATTTTCATTAATTTCTACTGAATAATTAAAACGGGGAATTAATATTTTCACCATTACTGTGTGCGTTTCTTTTTCTTTCACAGCTGGCTCCACAGAGCACTGAGCATGGAAGCAAGGCCGGCTCCAGGGGGGAGGGGCTGAGAGCTCATCTCCAGCTTCAGCTCCAGGCCAGCTGGGCTTTGTGCTCGGAAATTGCTTTTTAATTGATGAATGGATGAATGAATGGGCAGACAGAAACAGCGCTCCGAAGGCCAAGACAGCTGTTTGGAAGTTTCCAGAATTAGAGCTGACTCCGTTCCCTTCTGGGCTGCATTGGCTTGGGTCTTTTGGTTTTGGAGGCAGATCCTCACATGGTCCAGGCTGGCTTCCAGTTTTCTGTGTAGCCGAGGATAACCTTGAACTCCCAATCGTCCAGTGTCCATTACGGGTAAGGTCCACCACACCCCAGCACGGCTTCAGTTTCTGCCTTTTATACAAGCGGAACAGGAATTGCAGGGACTCTGAGGTCTAGATACCAGCCTTGAGCTTCTGATGTCTTATTTCTTGCTCCTCCAGGCTGCCTGCCGCCCAGAGGCTACCTGCCGTCTGCTAGCCTTATCCTAAAGGTGGCTTCTGAGACAGGCTCCACTGTGCAGTCCTGAAATTCGCTCTGTAGACCAGGCTGGCCTTGAGCGCAGAGATCTGCCTCTGCCTCCCGGAGTGCTGGGATCAAAGGCGTGCGTCACTATGCCCAGCTAGAATTCTTTTTTTATAAATATTTGAAATTGTGTGTCCGTGTGTCCGTGTGTGTGTGTGTGTGTGTGTGTGTGTGTGTGTGTGTAAGTGCTTTTGTGTCCACTGAGGCCAGAAGAGGACATGAGACAGATACCCTGGGATTGGAGCTGCAGACAGTTGTGAGCGGTCATGTGGGTGCTGGGAACTGAACCTGGGTCCTCTTGAAGAGCAGCCAGTGCTCCTAACCCCTGAGCCATCTCCCCAGCCCCGGAAAGTGAGTCATCAGAACCATCTGGGCCCTGGAGGGGTGATGGGTGTGGACAGGGAACCAGGAGCTGGGGTTGCAGCCGTCAGCCTGGCTCCTGTGCAGATGGGGTGGGGGCTCTCAGAGGTGAAGGTACCAGACTGGTCCCAGTCATGTGTCACCACACAGTCATGAGTCCTCCATGTCTCCACACAGTCAGATGGGGCTGGTTCACCTTGGTGCTGCTGGTGCGGGATTGTCCTCTGTATGGAGGTGTTGGGGGGGCATCTTGTGAGTCGCAGGAAGCTGGCCTAACCTGCATTACCCGATCACACCCGCTGGCTGCTACGTAACCGGCCACCTCGCAACTCAGGACACAATGTGTCTTGGACACTTTCAGGGAGTGAAAGCTACTGCCCCCCCCCCCCCCCCGTGGAGAATCCCCTGGCTTGAAGGAGGCTCCCCGACTTTAGAATGTCTCCGCGTATTTAAGCCCAGGCCCAGGTCCTCAGGACAGCTCTGAAATGGACCTGGTGTCACGAGCCGTGTGTCCTGTGGAGTTAACGCTATGCCTGCTCGCTCACCTGTAACACACACCTGATAGTATGACATCACCCGGCGGGACACCTGAGGTTGAGGTGGATAGTATGACATCACCCAGCGGGACACCTGAGGTTGAGGTGGATAGTATGACATCACCCAGCGGGACACCTGAGGTTGAGGTGAGGCCTTGGACACAGTCCCAGCCCGGCGCTGGGTTACCTGTAACGGGAGCAGGCGGCATCCACCTGGTAGCGTGGGTGAACTTGGATATCACAGTCCCAGCCTGGAGCCCTACACACAGTGAACCCCAAAAGTAGCCCCACGTCCCCATGGGTGACCTCAAGCTCCCCCACGGCGGGCCGATGCTCTCCGGCCTCACACCTCCCGCCCCAATGCCGTGTTCCATCAACACAGAGCAGCATCTGGGGGCCCTAGCCAGTCCCCACTCTGCTGCTGAGCAAGCCCTGGGGGCCCCAGGAAAAGATTAAAAAATTAACATTTCTTTATCATCTCACATCCCATTAAAATATTTATTTCAAGAAATAAATCTTTAAAAAAAAGAGAAAGAGAGAGAAGAGTGTCGCTATTGCTTTCCTCTGACAGTCAAGTCCTTGGGATCACAGGTCTCTTGCTGCCCTGGGCTCTGCTGCCTCAGGGGCCAACCAGGCCAGGGGGCACCAGCAAGTCTCACCGAGGCCGGTCCTTCCTGCAACTGTCCGAGCCCAGGGAGCCTGCTTTCACCAGGCTGGGGCTGGGCCTCACTTGAGCAATGGCAGTGTTCCTGGAGGCCCGGGCTGGGCAGGCCCCGGGGTTGGGACAGGGGAGGGCTACCCTGCACTGGAGGTGGGCATGCCACATGGAGATGGGTACTGGATTCTGGGCGTGGCCTGAGGCTGCAGGAAGCAGGAGGCAGTGACAAGGACGGGGCCTAAGTGGAGGGGAGCCACGGAAGGTCTGGTAGACCTGTGCAACCAGAACCGGCCAAGCGTACCCTGGGTGAAACTTCATCCCAGCCTGGCGGCGTGAGATGCCAGAGCTTGAGAGCGGTGTCAGAGTCTGCGGGGGGTGCCCTGGCGGTCTGGGCCCGCTGCCGATGGAGGCTGTGGTAGAGACACCCCCCGAGAGGGCAGAGATGGGGGCGTGTGGGCCAGTCACAGATCATGACAGAGCTGGGTCTCAGAAGAGGCCTAAAGTGAAGCCCACTGGAGGAGGCGTGAGGGGCAGGAAAGGTGGACCGGGAGGAGGGCAGAGTCCTCCCCCAGACCACCGCACACGGACACACTGGCCCTGCACACGGCCACGTTCCTGTGGACCAGAAGGCCTATTCCGGGCCCAAGAGTGGCCAGGGTCATGCCTCCAGCTGATCCGGGCCTCAGAAAGCAAGGTGTCTCCATTCACGCACTCCCGGTGGCCAGCTCATCTGCTCAGCCACGAGTCCTGTGGCGAGGGCAGGGAGGCCCCCTAGGACAGAGCTGCGGGCTTGGAGCCGCTGTCTCCTCAGCCTCCTCTTCCCACCCTTGGCCGGGGAAAGAGGCCGAGCCAGGAGACACGCATCTCGGAAAGTGTCGGTGCTTCCAGCCTGGGGGTGGGCAGACGCGGGGCAGGGTGGCTCCTGGCCTCACAGGCAGCCCTGGCACAAGGCCACCTGGCCCTTGAGGAAGTCGCGGCAGGGGCAGAGCCTCTGGTACTTGGTGCTGGCGCCGGCACAGCTGAAGAGCAGCGGCTCTTTCTGCAGGTAGCACTCTTGGCCAGGCTGGGCAAAGGCGGGATACAAGTGATGCATCTCCCACTCCGTGCTGTCACAGGGCACCCGCAGCCTGCAAAGGCGCCAACCAGCATCGTCACTCTTTGTCGAGTGGGATGACAGCTGTCCCCAGCTTAGCATGGCCCACCCCATCCCCTGGACCGGAGAAAACACAAGCCGCGGTTTTGAATCCATCTGTCAGAGCTCCAGGAAGCCACGGGCCTGGAGTCTTGGTGACCAGCTGGAGAGATGCCACACAGGCTGGGCAGGGGCCAAAGGAGGCAGGAAAGGGCAAGGCCAGCAGGGATGTCCTCCGTGGATCTTTCTTGGCTGAATCAGAAGCGTTAAACCCCCATCTACAGGGAAGCCAGGCAGGCAGGAAGGTGGGGACACAGGCAGGGGCTCAGACTCACTTGAGAAACGCGTCTTGGCTGTTGAGATAGGGGAAGAACGAAGGCTCGCAGATTAGCCCATGGTCCAGGCAGGCGTCCGTGCAGGCTCTCCCAGGGGCCGCCAGCCAGGCCCGCAGGGAGTGGGTAGGGGGCCAGGCTCCCGCGATCGAGCTGATGTTCTGGGCCCACTTGAGGTGAGTGGCATTGGGGGCTAAGACAAAGGGACTCTGGGCAGTGTGGGCGCCCGGTGACACCGGGCTTGGACCTGCACAGAAGTCCTGCCAGGAAAAGAGAGGTATTAGGGAAGGGGGTGGGTTTTGTCTGGAGCACCTGGTACTGCAATTCCAGTAAGAGCCACTACTGCGTACTTACTGAATGCCAAGCAGTCTCAAGCATTATTTCTGTAATACCACGTCGCCCATAGAATGGACGCTAATTATTGCACATAGGGGAGAGGACGCCAGCCAGGGACTCACGCCTGATGGCAGAGGCGGGCTCTGAACTCTCACCTGCTTGGGAGTTGTCTACCCTGCATGACCTCGCTTCTGGGGTCAGACTCAGGGCTTCAGCTTGAGGCCCATGAGCCTTGTGCTGGCCTCCGAGGCTCTTCTGGGGGCAGGGGGTGCTCAGAGTCTTCTCTGTAGAGGGACAGTTCGGAACCTGTCACCAGGTCCTAATGCTCACACAGTGGCCGGCCAAAGTTCAGACGCACACGGCATCTGTCCAGATCTAACAGCCACAGCTGCTGTCCCAAGGTCCCAAGCTCCACAGCTCTGCATCATCTGGCTTTTCTCTCACACCTGGAGTCTGACAGAGCCCAGCCCAGGCCACCTGCAGCTTATGGCAGGTCAGATCATGGGGTCTAGGCAGGTTCCCCAGACCCGTGCTTCACTGGCTGGCTTCTGTGCAAAATTCTGAGCTCACCAAGAAGAAGATGGCTGTCCGTCAGTCGGCGCCTGTCTGCCACTTGCTCCCTGGGGCTGATTGGTATGGCTGAGCTGACTCCAGAGCAGACCTTACCCCCATTTCTCAAGGCAGACCTCTACTCCAGCCCCCACCTCACTGATTCCCTGGAGGATGGTGAGCCGGGGCTCCTTCCTGTTCCGTTAGCTCAGTTATCAAACTTAAAAATGATTAAAAAAGAAAACAAACTAGTTTCTGTGTTTTCCAGGTCTGTGGGGTAGGGTAGGGACTGATATCCATGACGGTTGGATCCAATGCCCCAAGCCCCCACCGAGGAGAGCAGAGCTGCGTGGAAGGCTCGCCTGTAACTGCAGTCTGCACAGACCCCAGCATCAGCACAGCCCCAGCATCAGCACGGCCCCACTCTGCAGCCATAGCTCTGGAGTGACAGCCTCAAGTCCCTGGGGCAGAGGGCGCAGGGTGACCTACCTGGTGCTGGATGTAAGCATGGATCCTTTCCAGCATCCCTGCACACGTATACTCGTAGGGCAGATAAGGCTCTACCTGTGGAAGAGACGGGCAGAGGGACCTGGCTGCTGGAGTCACACCCACACTCAGCACTCTCAGCTCAGAAAGCCAGCCGACCACCCACCTGGCCCCTCTACTGCCTGTCCCAGTCTCCCAGCCCCGCCCATCTCCAGGCCTCACCTCTCCCTGCTCTCCACTCCTCTCCTCTCTGCAAAGCCCAGCACTTAATCTCCTCTCAGGCATCACCTACTGCTGAGCCACCCTGAGCCTACCCTAGTGGTCCTCTCTCTTGGACCGATTGAGTTCAGAGAGCTCAGCTCAGTCCCGGGGTCCTTAAGACATCATCCTGGCCTTGGTGGTGAATGGTTCCAATCTAAATAACAATAGACTTGGGCCCAAGTGGGTTTAGCCTCACCCTGAAGGCTAGGTGATACCGCTGGTCCCTCCTGCAGCCCCACAAACACCAGTCCACAACACCTCTCCTAGGGTCCCCATTTCCTGTTCAGTCCCCATCTCCTGCATGAGCCTGCAGAGCCACTGAAGGTGGGGACTCTGGCTTGTCCACCACTGAGCCCCGCTGGTCTGTCACAGTACCTAGCACATAGCAGGTGTTCAGGAGACAGTCACACATGAAGAAGCATCCACCCCATCCTGTATCCCACACAAGATACAGGGCATTCACACTGAGGGGCACAGGGCATTTACACATTCCCAGCTGGATGGCACAAGATGAACCTTGTCACACATCCCGCGCAGGCGTGTGACTATACAAGATGTGTACCCCCAAAGAAAGGGCCTGTGGCATCTGTGCAAGCGTCTAGAAGCTGACAGCAACCTAGTCTACGCAGATGGACGGAGTAGTTAGGGCTCAGGAAGCCGGCAGAGAAACCAGGCAGGTGGCATGCTCCTATAAACCCAAGCTTCGGTTTGGAGCAGGAGAGAGGGGATTCCTGGAGCTCACCGGCCAGATGGAGAGACCCTGACTCAAAAAATGAAGGCTGGAGGGATGGCTCAGTGGCCAAGAGCACTCTTGTTCTTGAATGAACAGGACCTGGGTTAGAGTCCTAGTACCCACATGGTGGCTCCCATCATCCCTAACTACAGTCCCAGGGGAGCCAACACCCCCTTCTGACTTCTGCAGGCACCAGGCATTCATATTACACACACACACACACACACACACACACACACACACACACGCATGCACGCACGCACGCAATTCACTCATGCACATAAACATAAAAAGTAAGCAGAAAAGTGATTTTATTTTATTTTTTTAAAGAAGGTGGAGATTACGAGAGGAAGGACACCTGATTGTGGTACTGGACCCCACATGCAGGCAGCCAGCTGCTGTCCAAGCTGGGACCTCACAATTAGAATACCGGGACCCACTGGATGCCTCGGGACTTGTGAGGGAAGGTTTGGAAACAGCTATAAACAAGTCTTGGGAGGGAGATTTCCCCTCACATGAGGCTCCTGCACTCCAGAGTGACAGCAAATAACCCCTGTCACGGGCAACTCAAAGGTCCCCTGTGTGAGGTGCGTTCCCAGGCAGCCCAGCCAGCTTGGGGCTTCTGTCACGAGCAGCAGCTGGAGATGACCCCACTGGGTCAAACTGTAGGAGCGGCTGTCATCTGTCTTGACAGTGACAAGGACTAGTCCTGGTCCCTCAGAAAACGGGTGAGGAGGGAGGTCACACAGAGGTAGCATGTCACCTCCTGTCCTCCCACCCGGAACATCCCCATCTGGACCATGTGTCCACAGGCAGGAGCCACAGCTCAAGTCCTGTGCTTTCCTCAGGGTGGGGCGTGCTAGCCTGGGGGGTTTCAGTCTCCTTTGCCAGCCTCCTGGCTCCTCCCTCCCTCTCTCCCTCCCTCCCTGGAGTCTCAAAGGCCCACACTGGCAGAACACGCCAGGACATTTCCTCATGGTGGTCACATTCCCTTGAGACCCAGCCAGCTGTTCCCAAGCTCATCTTCTGGAACAGGACAACCCTTAGCCAGGGTGTCTGTCTGAAATGCAGACTTCAAGGCCAGAGCTGAGGGCTGGAGCAGGCTCTATGCTGCGAGCTTCCAGCCTGCTCAGGCTATGTAGCCCAGGATGCCCCGGAATCCCCAACCCTCCTTAGTCTGGGCTACAGGGAAAGAAGGAGGCTGAGAGCTGCGACTCTAGCTGTTTTGGGGTCCCTCCCAGGTGGATAACACCTCCTGGATTCCTTCTTGTTATTTTATTTTTTTAGATTAACAAAACTGAACAGACGTGCAGGGTTTTTTTTTTTCGGTTTTTCAAGACAGGGTTTCTCTGTGGCTTTGGAGGCTGTCCTGGAACTCGCTCTGTAGACCAGGCTGGTCTCGAACTCACAAAGATCCGCCTGTCTCTACCTCCCGAGTGTTGGGATTAAAGGCGTGCGCCACCAACACCCGGCTCATTCAGGGTTTTTTTGTTTGCTTGCTTTTTAAGACAAAGCAAGACTCAAAGGTGAAAATAAGACACTCTCTCCTACTGACACTGCCCATCACCTGGAAGTCACCAGCAGGGGTGACTCCCTGTGCTGGGTCCTCCCACAGTCGCCTGCTTCTTGGCCAGGGAAGCAAACCTCTGAGTGTCTGTAGGTGTTCCCAGAGACAATCAAGGGGCAGAGCCACCAGCAGGCACAGCTTCCTGTGCATCATGTGATCTGCCACACCCTCCCCACCAAGACGGATGGAAACCTCCGAAACACTCAGCCCAATACATTTTTTAATAAGCTCTCTTGGGGGAAGCTATAGTGATGGCTCAGCAGTTAAGAGTACTGGCTATTCTCGTAAGAGGTTCACAGCGGTCTGCAACTCTAATTCCAGGGGATGGAGCCCTGTGGCACCAGGCACTTGGTAACGACGTACATGCAGGCAAAACACTGATACACATCAAATAAAAAGAAATAAATCTTTTGCACCCACAGTAGTGGCTGACACCTGCCTATAACTCCAGCTCCACACCCTCTTCTGGCCTCGAAGAGCACTCACACGCATGTACACACACACACACACACACACACACACACACACACACACACACACACACACACATTCAATAGGTTCCTTGAACCAGTCCTGCTGGAACTTGCAAGCGGATCAGCATCCCAAGGACAGCTGTATGCAATCACAATTGCTAACTGCTGCTCCAAGGGCACAGACCTATGGCAGGGGGCACCCTGAGAACACCCGCCAGGTTCCTAACTTGTGGCAAGCGTGCTTGCAGGGCCTGGCCCTCCAAGGTGCTTGGTAAATGATCTCTGACCCACAGTCGCCAAATAAGGAGGTGTGGGTTGCTCACAGCAGAAAGGTGCTCTCTCCCCTTACCTGCACACCTAGTTTGGAAGGGACTCACGCCTCCCTTTCCAGTCCATGCAGCCCGATTCAGGGTTGTGCTAAGCAGGAACTGGCTGGACTCCCTTTCAAGCCGGCCCTGCGAGCCTGAGCTGAGCGAGGCTCTCTGAGAAGTTCCTTCTACCAGGGGGTCTCACCTGGGTGTTCATGATGGCCTTGACAGCTGCTTCAAACTCCTCCGAGTTGTTGTAGTCCACAGTCCACACGTGAGGCTTGCCGATGAAGTTCTCTGCATAGGGATGCTGGGAGAAGACCTTCCCCGGGACCAACCGGAGGCTGCTTTAGCCTGCAGCTGGGCCGGGCTCAGGCACCCACCCTGGCCCCTTCCCTCGCAGCACCCCAAGGCTCAGCCCCCCCCTCCTCAGACTCCCGGATCTGGAACAGGGGCCCTTCTGCTCACCTCCCTGGAGGTGGGCTTGCCCCGGAAGAACTCGTGGTTGAGGGAGCTGTGGGGCGGGCTGAGGCGAGACTGAAGGAAGATGCAGCCATTGGCGATGGCCTCCAGGGGTGCGGGGCCCTCATAGGGAAATCCGAACCCTATAAAGAGCTGGGAGCAGAGGGTGGGCGAGATGGCTGGCCGGTTAAAGCTGGCCGGTTAAAGGCACTTGCCTATGACCTGAGCTCAACCTCCACGAGGGAAATGAAAATGAAAGACATCGGTTTTTTGTTTTTGTTTTTGTTTTGTTTTTCCTATCGGTGGGTTGAGTGAGATGAAGAAAGTTTTACCTATAAAGAAGTTAGTGAAGACACCATGTAGCAAAAATAAAAAGAAACCCCTCCCCCAGTCAGCATTCCTCTAAGATAAAAGGATATGTTGAAGCCGGGCGTTGGTGGCGCACACCTTTAATCCCAGCACTCGGGAGGCAGAGGCAGGTGGATCTCTGTGAGTTCGAGGCCAGCCTGGTCTACAGAGTGAGTTCCAGGACAGTCTCCAAAGCCACAGAGAAACCCTGCCTCGAAAAACCAAAAAAAAAAAAAAAAAAAAAAAAAAAAAAGGATATGTCGAGGATAGCATCCTGCCCCCCAAAGCTGCGCTCGGCTCAACCGCACTGGGTTCAGCCAACCAGCAAAAAGCGAGAGGCTGAGCTCTGACCATTCGACTGAGGCACAGGACCCCTCTGCGCTGGAAATACAACCCCCCCCTTTCATGGCTACGCTCCCTCTGCAAAACCTTTTTGCCTTTCATGAAATACTTTGGATTGTGTGGTCATATCCGTGGGACTCCAGACCCACTTATAACACCCCAGAACCCACAGGATGGGGAGAACCAACTCCCAGAAGTTGGGTGGGGTGGGGTGAGCTAATGGTTAGGGAGGGTTGAGTCAGCTCAGCCCAGGACTCTAGAAGTCAGAGGCAAGGATGGTCTCAGTATGCATAGGAGGCTGCAGGGGCGGTATAGACAGATCACTGTGCGCTATAAGCATGCCTTTCCCCTCCCTGGGCCTCAGTTTCCCCACTGTGAAAGGAGCAGTCTGGTTTTATAAATGGATTCCCCTTGCTCCATTAAGCTATGCTTTTGGAGGGAAAGGAGAAGCCAGGGTCCCACCCCAGATATCCCCGGCTCTCAAAGGCCCTTCGCTCTCTCGCGAGATGTTAAAACATTCATCCTATTAGTGACTGTACCGGCTCCAGAAAGGTGTTTAATAAGTAATTCTGAGTCCAGGGCCTTCCTGCTCTCAACACATACATGTCTAAGAGACCCAAGGAAAGACCAGAGGGACTGGATGCTAGTGGGAGACTTTCTGGTCTCAGACGACGCTCCAGGGCCAGCCATAGGATCATTCCCAGGGTACCAGCTGTATCCAACTCTGGGGATTTATAGAAGCAACCTGCTGGGACTAATGGCCCCACGGAGACCCAGCCAGGATCCTCTCAGCCTGTGTGGCTGTCCCTCCAAAGCTTTTGCAGTTTGGCCAGCCTTGGGATTGGGCTGGGACTGAGAGGGGAGGGCCGGACGGCACTGCTCCATTCCCTCCCAATGGAGGGTCTCCGGACCTGCTGGATACCTGCATGCCTGCCAGGATTTTGGGAGGCAGAGCACATGGATGTATCTAGCTTGGTCATCCACGGCCGTGGTCCTCAGGGGCGAGACATCGGCCAGAGGCTCACCTTGGCCTTACGCAGCAGCTGCTGGAACTCAGGCTGTGGCAGGAGGCCATGGTTCTTTACAAAGGCAGGGACCTCGGGGGGCCGCTGGCTCTCGTAGTACACGGTGCCATGGATCTCCATGTACTTGTTCAGGATGGTCAGGAACTTCTCCTTGCCCTGCACGAGGAAGAGGAGATGGTGGGGCCTCCCCTCACACTCAGAAGGCAGAGCTGGTACTTCAGGCACCCCTGCTCTGGGGTCAGAAGACAGGGGCTCATCTTGGAATGATTATTAACTTGTTGTGTAGACTTGGGCAAGGTCCCTCTCCCCTCTGAACCCCCTAAGTTTTTCATCTGTGAGTTGCAGGGCTTGAACTAAACCAGAGGCATTAGGGTTGGTTCTAGCCATGGAATTGACTGTTTGCCAAAGAAGTCCAAGGAGGCCCAGTACTTAAATGTATCTGTGAACCTGAATTCCCTGAGGCCCCATGGGGCTCTCTGGAACTGTCTCACACATTCACCCATTCACCTGTCAATCCAGCCATTAATCTGTTTACACATACCCTGTCTGTCTGTCTGTCTGTCTGTCTGTCTGTCTGTCTGTCTGTCCGTCCATCCATCAACCACATATCCATTCTTCTATCTACCGACCCACCCATCCATGAGTCCATCAACCCACCCACCCCTCCACCCTCCTTTCCATCCATCTATCTACTCATCCGCCCATCCAACAACCCACTCATCCCTCCATCTACCTATCCATCCATGTCTCTACCCACCCACCCACCCACCCATCCATCCATCTGTCCATTCCCTGTCCATCCATCCATCCTCCCATCCCCTGTCCACCCATCCTTCCATCCACTGATCCATGCATCCTTCCTTTCATCTAGGAAGGAAGAAGATGGTGGAAGACTGGAGATGTAGGGTGTTAGCTGAACGTGAACTAGAGCGCCCCTCACAGGAGAAGCTTCTGGCTTAAATTGTTTCAGTTGTTATAAACTATTGAGGTGATCTGGCCCCAGCTACAAGCTAGGAGTCAAAGCTAATCCTCTCTGGAAGAAAATGGCATCAGTTTTTACTTCAAATTATTCTTACTCTTTTTTTTTTTTGAGGCAGGTTTCTTTGGAGGCTGTCCTGGAACTAGCTCTTGTAGACCAGGCTGGTCTCGAACTCACAGAGATCCACCTACCTCTGCCTCCCGAGTGCTGGGATTATAGGCGTGCGCCACCAACACCCAGCTCACTGCCTGGCATTCTTGTGTTTTTTTTTCATATTCATTTCCAGAACACATAAAAAATTCAAGACAACCAAAAAAAAAATCCTACTAAAAACCTAGAAGGCTTTGCAACAGAAATGAATGGGGTAAGACTAACGTTTAGTTAATCTGGGGACTTAAAATGGATGGAAGACTCTGGACAAGAGCATCAGCAGATGGAGCTATTGCGGCACACATTCTGTGCACTGTGAAGATGTGTGTCTGCCAAGACGCCTTCTGATTCCTTTAACAAAGAACCGAACGGCCAATAGCTATGCAGGAGAGGAAAGGCGGGACTTCTGGGAAGAGATAGGAACTCTGGGGAGAGGCAGGATTTGCCAGCCAGACATGGAGGAAATGAGACGCATGGTGCCCAGCAGAGGCAATGAGTCACGTGGCAGAAAATCGGTTAATATAAAAAGGTTAATTTAAATGATAAGAGGTAGTTGAGAATAAGCCTAAGGTAAGGCCAAGCTCTCACACTTAGTCATAAGTCTCTGTGTCATTATTTGGGAGCTGGCACCCCAAGGAAGGACTCCCAGAGCGGCTGACCCCAGGTCCATGTGCAGCAGGAGCGGTGGGGACATCGGAATGACACATAGATGGGGGGAGGAAAATCTGAGTCTGGACAGAGATCCCACATCCACAGTCACCCCATGGCTGAATAGGGAGGGTGTCTCTGAGGAGGAAGGAGGCGTTCTCCACAAGTGATGTAGAGCATTTGCCATCCGCATGCAAAGGAAGGGAGAGGCTGTCCGAGCCTGGGGCCCAGTGGGGTAGCTCGGAATCGGAAGAATTTGAACCCGTACATCCCATCGCACGGCAAAGTTAACTCAAAATGGATCACAGACTCAAAAAGCAAAAATTAAAACCCTGAAACTGACGGAGGACAGCAGAGAAGCCAAGACTTTGGGAGAAACAGACTTCTTGGCCACAGCACCAGAAGTCCTGACGGCCTTTGATTTCCAGCGACTTCAAGGGTTAGCCAGGCGTGGTGCAGACCTGTAACCCCAACAGTTGCGAAGCTGAGGCAGGAGAATTGCCACACGGATGACCTGAGTTACAGAGTAAAATCAGGGCCCTCGGGTTACGCAGCAAGACACCTTCAGAGACATCCATCTTGTCAGACTACTATAAACCTGTGAAACCTGTGACAGCCGACTTTAATCCTACCCAACCGGGCATGAGACTTTTCAGACAAGACAATCAGGTCACAAGCTTGATGAAAGACACTAGCTGGCACTCCAGGATGACCTCGAAACTCCCAACTGTCTCTACCTCCCTAATTCTGACATCACAGGCTTGCTCTGAGCACGCTGCCTCTGGGTACTGGGGCCTAAACTCTGCGCTTTGTGCACTCTGGACGAATTAAGTCACATTGCCCAGCCCACATCTGACTTCACACAACCGGCTTCCTGCCCGTCTTCTGTCTGTTCCACCCTCAGCCTCGTCTGTGGCTGCGCCCTGGAACTTGCCTCTGTCCTCACGGGGACCCAGGGAAGACTGCTCCTCGGACCCTGCTGTCCCCACTCACCCCTCCCCGCCCTGGTACATCCGTGGGGCTCCTGACAGAGTCGAGGACGCATCCTCACGGAGACCCCACGGTGCAGCCAGTGCTGGAGGAAGGCAAAAGCGGGCACACGGTGGGGGAGGGGAGGGACGGGAGGCAGAGGGGGGGGCGAGCGGGCTCTGTTCCATACCTGGAGCTGCCTCATCGCCACGGAGCACAGGGAACAGAGAGAGCAGGTTAGTGACCGGAAGCAGGTGTCACCCCTCACAAGTTCCCCGGGATGGGGAACCAAGCTGGAAGGCAGGGTTCTAATTTGTAAGCCCCACCCCCACCTCTCACCCCACAAAGTTCCCGTCTAGCCTAAGCCTGCCTGTGGGGCTTATTTCATACATCAGTTCCTAGAGGTGGGGGGTAGAGGGTCTTCTCCACAAAGAAACCATCTAGATCTCTGGGAACAGTCCGGGGGGAGCTGGGGGACTGTCGCCATCGTGTTGGGGACGACCCTGAACCATTAGCAAGACATATAGTCCACCCTCTGGGGTGCAGTGCAGCAGATGGAGCCACGTTCTGGCTTCCCTGAACCCCATGAAGCTTCAGGTGTGGACTGCACACGCATGGGCTTCGCCGATACAGGGCTGGCCAAGTCCGGTGATTGCGTGGCCAGAGCCTTCACGGTCGTGGATGTGACCCGCGCTGGAATCGGGTGCGTGCAGGAGTGTGGCCAGCGCTGGCACGCGGACACGACCCGTGTGACTTAGTGCAGTGGGCAGGGCTTGCGCCGGGATGGGTGTGGCCCTCGCTTGAGTAGGCGTGGCAAGTACAGCGGCTGGATCGGGCGCTGGCATGGGCGTGGCCCACACTCTGGCAGGCGTGGCTTTGCGGTGGGCGTGGCCCGCATCGCGGGCTGGCACGGTGGGCGGGGCAGTGGGCCTGCCGGGGGCGGGGGGGGGGCGGCTCACCTTCCAGATACTCGCCTCCTTGCCGTACACCACCGCCATGTTGCTGGCCTTGCTGTCTTTGATGAGCTGCTTCTCAGTCTCGTTGAGTTCCTCGGACACGAAGCCCATAAAGGAGTTGTCCGGGGTGTGAGCTACAGCGCGGCCGCAGAGAGGGGAAGACGGGGTTATCAAACCAACATCCAAGCAGCAACCCCGGCCTCCCTGGACCTGCCTCTCCCAGGAGCTCCCGCTGAGCACACGGGACAGCACCCATGGGTGGTCTGGCCTGGAGAAGAGACGGTCACAAAGCTCAGAGCAGAGAACCTGCAGGGCCACCTGGCTCCCAGCGTGTTTTCAGATGGCCGACTTGAGTCTGGGTAGCGCAGCCGGGACCCCCCCAGTCCCTTCTCTAGGGCGCTGTCTCCGTCTTGGCCCCTTTCCCCCACCCCACACGTGTCACCGCAGGGGTTTCTCCTCTACCAGTCCCCAGCACACGGACAGCTGTCTCCCTGTTCCCAAAGTTCTTTTCTCTAGAACAATACTTTCTGACTTGGGTCCTATCAGGTTCCTAGACCTGCCCAAGACCCCATGGGCGTGCTCCTTCTCACAATCTCCAGACTCCACCCACTCCTAGTGGGGACATCCTTTACCCTGACAGGAGGAAGTTCTAGTACATACCAGAAGTTCTAATACACACCACTCAGTTATTCTAGCCAGAATAAGGCCAGGCTGCAAGAGTGTCAGGTCACCTCCGTGTCCCCAGCCAAAGCACCAACACTGTCACACCTTCCAACCTTTGCTCTGCCTGGACTCTAAGCTCCTCCCTTTTCTGACAGGGTCCCTACCCCCATCACCCACCCTCGTGAGCCTCTCTGGGGTCCACCAGCCTCCCTTGAGGTCCCCTGGCCAGTTCCCTGCTGAGAACACAACAGAGAATTACAATAAAGATCTAGTTCTCCTCCAGAAACCCAGCTCCAGGCAGGGTCTGGCTTCCTCACTATCTCTCAGGGGCAAAGTGAATTTTAGCTCCTTTTAATAATTTATTTATTATTTGGTTAGGTTTTCAGAAAAGCATCGTTATTGCATTATTGCTAAAAGATTACCCAATACATACAATTTGCCCAGCAGGTTATATAATCAAAAGGGCTCCCTCCTTATTTAAGTAATGCTTTTAAAAATTAAGTTAATGAAGAAATTCCTCCTCCTGCAGCAGTCTGTGGACTGAACACAGCTGAGGTCCTGGGCTCCGATGTGGGTAACCCTGCCCATCTTCAGAAACAGTCATAAGTCTTCTCCCTTGTTCCCTCCGGAGGCCAGTTCTGGTGGCCCTCCTGGGAGGTGCTAGGACCTGGAACCAAGTGTCTCCAGAGCTCACTGGCTTCCTGAATGGGCGGAGCTCTGGGGAGAGCTGGCTGCAAGGAAGGCGTGCTCAGTCTCCGGGGACACCCCAAACTCCCGTCACCCCATTTCCTACTCCAGATGCTCATGATCCATACCCTAGCCTCCCTCAGCAGGGAGCCGCGTGCTAATCAGACACGTGAGGCACCCTGCCCACAGGACATTCCAGTCCACACCTGGGGCATTTTAGACTTGTCTTCAACACCTCCCCTGTGTACCTGAGGGTGATCCCGAACTTCTGATTCTCCTGCCTCCGCCTTCTAACTTCTGGGATTACAGGTGTTTGCCCGAACGCCCTGCTTATGTGGTGCTGGAGAGGGAACGCAGGGTCCTATCCATGCTAGGCAAGCGCTCTGACCACTGAGCCACATGCCCCGCCCCTGGTGCTTCCCTCCACAGGGCCTGGGAATGCGTATGGTCCTTGGCTGGTTAAAGAATGGACCCAGGCCTCTTTTTTTTGGCTTCAGGAGGTGAGGCAGAGTCCTACCACGAGGCCCAGAGCTTTCTGTGGTAACGAGGACAGGAGACAGTCCTGTTGTCCCCAGACTCTTCTCAACTTTAGAAGCACTGCTAACCCAGAAAGGCAGCCAGACCTTCCTGGATGGACGCCTGGCTGCCTGACTGCCTACCTTCCCTCTGCTTCCAGCTGGGCTGGTGGCCTCCCTGTTCTGGTGGCCTCCCTCAGCTCAGCAGCTGAGGACACAACAGAACTGTCCCGCACTCCGCCAGAAGGGACAGATTTAGAATATATAATTAGCTGAATCAGTCAGTGCGAATGGACAGAGAAACATGGCGACCAATTAAAATAACAATTAAACAGAGAGCTCTCAGGGCAGGGAAGGGTTAGATCAGGGGAGGAAAAGAGAGCCAGCCTGGGCTATATAAGACCCTGTCTCAAAATACGAAGAACAGACTGATTATAAGGTGAGGAAGCAGGCTCTGTGTGGAGTAGAAGGCGAGGGGTCAGTGGAAGCAATGGGAGAAAGAAGAAACATCTGGACAAAGAAGAAACATCTGGAGAAAGAAGAAACATCTGGCCTGGGGTTCGGGAGGATGAGTAGGAGTTTGCCAAGTCTAGAACTCCATATTCAAGGAGCTCTCTACCCGTGCAGATTCTTGTAAAATATTTTCTAGCATTAGTTAATTAATTAGCTGTGTGTATGAACACGTGTGTGCACTTGTGTGCTATGTATGGTGTATGAGCGAGGTCAGAGGAGTTTGGGGGAGTTGGTTCTCTCCTTCCACAGTGTGGGTCCCAGGGATCGAACTCAGGTCATCAGTCTGAGAGGCAAGCTACTGTAGTTGGTGAGTCATCTCTCTGGCCCCTTGTTAGGCTCTCACAGAAACCTCTTAGCCATCTTGTGTCTCCACACTGACCTCCGCCCCTTTCCCTAGCTACAGTTAGCCAGCACACTGTGCCTGCAAAACTTCTTGACCAAACACAGTGGCACTAGCCCAATCCCCCAGGCCTCCCTCCAGGTCACCTTTAAAGCCTCCCTGCTAAGTGGGTAATTACCTGACACTCAGATCCCACAGCTTGCCCTACCCAGGGGCCCCTGCCCTCCCCTTCCTATCTTTCCCTTCCAGACTGCATTCCACATTATACAGGAACCACACTCCCCTCTGGGTCCCACGGGACTTCCAAAAGGGGTCCCCAGTAAACAGTGATCTCCACAGAGCGGTGTGTCCCCAGACAGGGTGCAATACCTCCCTGGGCCTCGGTTTCCTAATCTTGACCCCTGGGCTGCAGGAATTGTACCCCAGTTCTGGGAATTAATAATGCAGCCATTACTCACCGACCACGGCATGTCTGCCCAATGCCGTCTGAACCTAAGCTGTTGACAGAAATGCCGTGAATCTGACGCCTTAAGTAAAGATCATATCCTCTGCAAGTCCCCGGGAACTGGGCAGAACCCACTCTGCTCTTAATTTAGAAAGCTTTTCTGGCTTTCTGGCCCAGAGACTCTGAAGTGTCACAAATTAGATGCTAACGATGCTACTCTGCTCACAGCCACAGAAGACTACAATTGAGAGTGACAGCCGAGGGCCAGTAAGATGGCTCAGGGTGGAGGGGGTGCCTGCTGCCAAGCCTGACACCCTGGGCTCGATCCCAGGGATCGAACAGAAGGAAAGAACAGATTCCTGGAAGTTGTGGTCTGACCTGCACAGTAGGTGTGTGCTCTACCGCCACACCCTGCAAGCACAAAGGAATAAATACATGGAATAAAAGGTATTTTAAGTGACACCAAATAGGCCCTTAAGCAAGAGCCACACAGAAATGAAATCCCAGCATTCGGGAGGCCGAGGCAGGGTTCAAACCGAGACCGGGTACATACTAAGACCCCACATGTCCCCAGCACTAGAAATAAAAACTAGATACAAATGGTTGACACTCAGCTGTGGTGGCGCTCACCTTTAATCCCAGCACTCGGGAGGCAGAGGCAGGCGGAGCTCTGTGAGTTCAAGGCCAGCCTGGTCTACAAGAGATAGTTCCAGAACAGTCAGGGCTACACAGAGAAACCCTGTCTTGAGAAAGCAAACACCAGCCAACCAAACAAACAAAACACACGGCTGCCACTCAGCTCCTGAGGCTCACCCCCCTGAGGCTCACCTTCCTGAGGCTCACCCCCTGAGGCTCACCCCCCTGAGGCTCACCCCCCTGAGGCTCACCCCCCTGAGGCTCACCCTCCTGAGGCTCACCCCCCTGAGGCTCACCTTCCTGAGGCTCACCCCCCTGAGGCTCACCTTCCTGAGGCTCACCCCCCTGAGGCTCACCTTCCTGAGGCTCACCCCCTTGAGGCTCACCCTCCTGAGGCTCACCTTCCTGAGGCTCACCCCCCTGAGGCTCACCTTCCTGAGGCTCACCCTCCTGAGGCTCACCTTCCTGAGGCTCACCCCCCTGAGGCTCACCTTCCTGAGGCTCACCCCCTTGAGGCTCACCCTCCTGAGGCTCACCCTCCTGAGGCTCACCTTCCTGAGGCTCACCTTCCGTGGCTTCCTTCATTCCCTCCCTCCAGGCTCACCCCAGGCCTGGAGCCTTAAGGAGCTTCCAAGTTTTCACAGCCTTCAAGCTCGTCCACCTGCTTCAGACAGGGCCACTTTTTCTTTTGCCCCGCCCCCTCCAGTTTCTCTGGTTGGTTTGGGAAACCGCTGGAAGGAAGGCCACTGGGCCTTCTGCTCTGAGCTATGTGCCTTGGGTCAGCACTGGGAACACCGTGTTCAGTCTCTGTGATTCCTGTTTCCCTGTACCCAAAGGGACGGCAGGTGCTTGCTAAGTCCATCCCACGGCCCGAGAGGGAGCGTGCACACCTGGGGAGACACACCCCTGCACACCTGGGGAGACACACCCCTGCACACCTGGGGACACACACCCCTGTACACATGGGGAGACACACCCCTGTACACCTGGGGAGACACACCCCTGCACACCTGGGGAGACACACCCCTGCACACCTGGGGAGACACACCCCTGCATACCTGGGGAGACACACCCCTGCACACCTGGGGAGACACACCCCTGCACACCTGGGGAGACCCCTTCCTCATGATAGCACTCACGGAACATGGTCATGAACTGCTTGGGGTTGAGGTTCCAGTAACCCCAGTTGGTCCGGTAGCCGTGCAGTGTGGCATACTCCTCGTGGTTGTATGCTGGCTCGGTCCCAAAGGTGTCAATGACTCGGATTCTGCACCTGTCCTCCCCGGGGGAAACAGGGCTGAGGTCACACCTTTGTGTGTGTCCCTGGACTAGGGATGCCCCTGTGGCAATGCTGTGGCTAGGTCAGGGAAGTACAGTACTTGGCCAGGGCTTCACTTAGGTGCTGCCCCAGGGTGTGACCACAGCAGGTGCTTCCCCCTCTCTGTGCCAGCCTCCCTGACAGGAATAGCGGTCCAGCCACCTCAAGGTAGCTTGGTTACTCTCAATGCCTGGCCCCTGGTTGGCACCCAGAAGGCAAACCACCACCTCCGAGGGAGGAAGTGAGGTGGCGTCTGAAGGGGGAGGGGCAGCCCGTCATGCCCAGAGTCATTTGTAAGCTGTGCTTTGTTGGGAAGAAAAGGGTCCACGGGTAGGGTCCTGGAGACCTGGGTTTAGGAGACTGCCCCAAGCCTCCTCTGCAAGGGTGACCCCTCCTAGGTCTCAAAAGAGGTTCCGACCCCGGCTTCCCTCCTCCACTGCTATCCTCCATCCCCGAAGCTTCTGGTCTGAAGCCCAGAGCTCCCATAGGATCAGCTAACCTAGGGCCAGGTCATCTCTGAGGCCAAGGCTCTAGAAACTGCACCCGCCCATCCTTCCCTGAGGCGCTAACACTTAGACACCCCACACAGAGCTGCGGGGGGAGCGGGGGGGGGGGCCCGAGAGTGCTCTTCCAGGGCCAGCGCTCTTCCGAATGACCCAGAATCTTGCAGACTGCTGAGGCCAGCAGGATTCCTGACTCCCGGGGAGAGGGGGTGGGGCGGGCAAGATGGCAGTGCTCAGACAGCACACATTAATAATAAAAGCAATAACGCCGGCCGTCACCTTCCTCTAATAAAATCACACTGGGTATTGATGGCATTAGCGCAGCACAGGAATAAGCAGTGGGGCTCTCGGTGCCACACGAACCCACTGCTGCCGGGCTGCAGGCAGCGCATGCGTGCCTTGTCCTGGGGGTCACTGAAGGGCATTGACTGACTCCCCCGCTCCAGGCTCCAAGGCAGAGATCATGACCCCAGAGGGCGCTCTCTCCTACTCTCCCCCCCCCCAGGGATGCCCTCCTTCCAGGCCACCTCCCATCCTATGGGCTCCAGCCCCCATCCTGCAGAGGGAGGGAAGGCTCTTGAGGGCTGCCAGTGGTCTGGATGGGGTGGGAAAGTGAAGGCTGAGACCGGAAGGGGGTAGGGGGCGTGCGATGCTCCACCCTGGGCTGGCTGGCCGGAGGGAAGGCAAGGGTCCCCCACGGTCCCCCGCGCCTCTCACCGGTACTTCTTGAAGGACAGCCCCATGTGCTGCCTCATCTGCTGCAGGCCGTGGTAGTCCGTGTAGATGAGGTCAAACGGCAGAGGCATGGTAAGAGGGCAGTTCCCCCGGCCTGGAGGCACCCCTAAGTTACTGAGAGAAGAGCCCGTTAGAGTCAGGGCCCCCCGAGAAACCCACCTTCCCAACCAACCCTGCACCTACCCGGCTCCCACGGCCGAGGTTAGAAAGTGAAGGGAGACAGCCCAAGGGGCGGGGGGGGGGGGCGAGAGAGAGAGCATGCTCTCAGAGATGAGCCAAGTGGGGTGGCCCTGTGCGGCTGTATGGAGTCTTCACTGCACATGGGGCATCTACCTGGGGTGGGACACACACACACACCACACACACACACACCACACACACACACACCACACACACACACACACACCACACACCACACACACCACACACACACACCACACACACACACCACACACACCCACACCACACACACACACACACCACACACACACACCACACACACACACACACCACACACACACACACACACACACACACACACCACACACACACACACCACACACACACACACGCACACACACACACACCACACACACACCACACACACCACACACACACACACCACACACACACACCACACACACCCACACCACACACACCCACACACACCCACGCACACACACACCACACACACACACACCACACACACACACACACACACCACACACACCACACACACACACACACACACGCACACACACACAGAGAGAGAGAGAGAGAGAGAGAGAGAGAGAGAGAGAGAGAGAGAGAGAGAGAAATCCACCCCGGCTACTTTGCCAAGCAGGGCACCTGGCCCAGTCCCCCTGTCAGGAGGAAGGGGTTTTCTGTAACTCCGGCAAGGCTAGCTTTGCTCGGAGAACAAGTCTGTTTCACAAAGTGCCATGAATGTGAGCCAAAGTCCTCAGAGTCCCTTCAGTGCTCACTCGGTACCAAGGACTCCAAATGCCATGGCTGACCCAGCTCTGGGATGTCCCCTCCCCCGCTCCAGCCAGCCATAGCACTGAGTCCCCTGGGACCAGAGGCCTGCCATGTACGTGGCACTTTGCAAACACAGTGGTTTTTGCCTGGGAAAGGGCTGCTTCCAGAGACACAGAAGCTACGGTTGGGCCAGAAGGGAGTGGTGACCCTCTGTTGTCTGGCAGGAGCCTGGGTGTCAGTCAGCTCATCTCACTGAAGCCTGAAGGACACGGCCATGGCCTCTCGGCTTCTTCTAGAACAGCCATCTGCCCGCCGGTCTCCCTGGAGAAGTTTCTAGGCCTTGGCACAGCTGCCAGAGCTGCCGATTTCAGCATTGTGAAGCTCTCTGTCCGGAAAATCATCACCTCCCACTGGGGCCCCTGCGGAACTGACTGGGAAGCCCCTTGGCTCCTCTCCCTCGGGCCTCATGCTCTAGCATTCAGTGAGTCTGCGCTGAGCCCCAGTGTAAGAGGAGAGTGAGCCACGGCTACCCATGACCCCCTCCACGTTCATGTTCCTTCGTCCGTCCTACACTGAGCCAGAGTCAGAAGCCCCGAGCTGAAGCAACACCAAGCTTGGCGCTGTGCCTGTTTGGCAAATGCGTCGCCCCCCCCAGGCGTGCCCATTTAGTACACCTTTTGTAAGACGCTACAGGGTGCCAGGCCCTGTGCCCTGTGAGACTTGTGGTCTCGGATGGTGACTCTCCAGGAAGAGTGAGTGGCCTGGAGAGGGATGAGGGTATGAGCAGACAGGGCGGGCTTCAGGCCCAGCTGCTGGGAGCTGATTGGGTGTTGAGGACAAGGGGGACCATGGCCAAATAGACCAAGGATGCTAAGAGCCCTTGTCTTCCTGTCTCAGCTCCTAGGGGTGCAAAGTGGCCTGTCACTGAGCTGGATGCCCCGCCCTGTGCCTCTGCCGGGCCATTGGCTGCCTGCAGTAACGGGATGCTGGAAGAGGCCCCTAGGCCTCCTGGGAGCCCACACCATAAGCAACCTTGGGTCAGGGAGGTGCCGGCTTTGTCAAGGACAGATTCATTAAAGAAACGGGGCCATGACTGATCCACTGCCTTGGTTGTGTGTCGGACTCTCTGAAATAATTCCAGCCAGGTGGAAAAGTACCAGCCCAGGGTGCTCAGCGCATTCCAGACTGGGGGGGGGGTGCGGGGACTGGCTCACGCTCTCCTCTGGGCAGGCCATCCACAGTGAGCCCCTTTCCGGTGACGTAGATGGCAAGAAAAGATGCCAGGGTTGGGGTTACGGGTGGATATGGTGGCATCAGGGGTGGATCTGTCTCTACAGGGCATGGCGATATGAAGGGTGGGGTCAGGACCCTGGCTTGCCGAGCTGTCCCCAACCACGCCTTCCCCGATGCCTGAAGTTGCGCTGCAGAGGCAGGAAAGCAAGACCCTAAGGACCCCGTTCCTACACACAAAGCCTTTCACCTGGCCGCACGGCCTCCGCCCTGCCCCTCCTCCCCTCTGGGGGCTACCTTCCCATGGCCACCCAGATGTCACGGAATAGGGGCTTCTAAGGCAAGGATCTCCTGATGGGGAATGGGCAGAGAGCTCGTGGGCTGTGGTACCCTGAAGCAGTTCCCAGTCGGAGGCTCTTTTCAGGGTGGAGCCATCGTCTCTACTGTGCGGGGCATCTCAGCCATGTCCTACACCCCCAAACTTCTGTAGCAATGCCAACCAACACCCCTCAAAGGAGCCTCACCGCTACAGACCTCTAGAGTACCTGGTGAGCAGGAGGCTTCTCTTGGCCTTACCCCGCGAGAACTACAGACAAAAGGATCCAGGCATCCTGCCCTGGTCTTTTTCAGCCGTGAGAAAGGGTGGCTACTCCCCTCCCGATGGGAATCTGGGTTAGTAAAATGAAGACAGCTCTGAAAATATGAATCATAGGAGGACCCGGGTCCCGGTACCGACACCTACGAAATGACAGGTCTCCTCACGTCTTTCTGGTTGTTTCCAGGCAGCGTGTGTCACCCCCATTCTTGGATTTCCTTGGTTTTGTTTTGTTTGAGACAGGGGCTCACTCTGTATCCCTGGCTGGCCTGGAACTCTCTGTGTAGGCCAGACTAGTTTTGAATCCGTGGAGTGCCACCTCCCTCTGCCTCTCCAGTACTGGGGTTGAAGTTGTGTGACACCACACCTGAATTCCTTGGTTTGTCTTGACTGTCACCTTGACTGGATTTACAGCCACCATGGGTGCCAGGATCCGAACTCAGGTTCTTATGCTTGCTCTATCTAAACTAACTCACTGTGGCTATTGTAATTCTAAATAGCACTCTGTAAGATTTGCCATTCCTGCTGGACGTTGGTGACATAGGCCTTTAATCCCAGCACTCGGGAGGCAGAGGTAGGCGGATCTCTGAGAGTTCGAGGCCAGCCTGGTCTACAGAGCGAGTTCCAGGACAGCCTCCAAAACAATACAGAGAAACCCTGTCTCGAAAAACCAAAAAAAAAAAAAAATTGCCCATTCCTCTAGAAAGGCACAAGTTACGGTTCTGTATTTTTTTTATACAGACTTGGAACCAGACTTGGAACCAGAAGGCCCCTCAATTCTCTGTCCTCACAGTTGACAACTTCCAGCCAACCCTCTAGCTGCCTCGCCCTTTCCTGCTGTCTATACCAGGAGACATACCTAATGTCTGCCCTCGGTCACCTTGTCTCAACTGTGGGCTCCTCGAAAGCAGGTCAGATCTGAAGATCGAGGAACGAGTTCAGGATCTTACCCAATAACGTCAGCCAAAGGACTCTTTCCACACAGAGGAATAAAGAGACAATGGCTATGGTGGGGGTAGGTTTAGATGTGGGGGCTCCATCCAGCACCTGCTAGGCTAGCCCAGGTGGAGAGCAGCATCTAACGGAGCCCTGCGGCCATTGGACAGCTGGAGAAGTACTGCATAGGCCCGGGAGAAGCAGCACGCTGGGCCCCTTGTGCCTTTTTCTGGGAGGAGGGAAGAAGCTGCAGCCCCCTCGCCAGAAGGAGTGTGTGTGTGTGTGTGTGTGTGTGTGTGTGTGTGTGTTTTCACCCTGTGCTAATGCCCCGAAGGGAGGCAGTCAGAGCCTCATTGCTCCCTAAGGCACCGGGGAGCAGAAAGGTCAACTGCTCAGGGAGATTGCAGGTTTATGACCTATAATTCAAGTGCACTTTTACAGGCGATTTTGCACTAAGTGGCTGGCTGGATCTGGCACTTGAATGGAGATGATGCCAGCCTGATGGTCTCCAGCCAGAGGTGGCTCAGGGGGCTGCACACAGTCCCAGCAGGAGGACTCGCCTGCTGCCTCGGCATCACTAGTACTAACTAGGTCTTGTTCTGCGGACGCAGAGTCACAGAATAAGATCTCAGAGCTTCCCGGGGAAAGGTCACCCCAACTGCAAACTTTTATAACTGCCAAACCTGGTGGACAGAGAGATGTGCCCTGGACCACCTGGGTGGAATCCACACACGCAGGGGCCAGTGAGAGAGCTCAGTCGGTAAAAGCCTGGATTTGGTTTTTTTGTTTGTTTGTTTGTTTGGTTGGTTGGTTGGTTGGTTGGTTGGTTTTGTTTGGTTTTCGAGACAGGGTTTCTCCGTGGCTTTGGAGGCTGTCCTGGAACTCGCTCTTGTAGACCAGGCTGGTCTCACAGAGATCCGCCTGCCTCTGCCTCCCAAGTTCTGGGATCAAAGGCATGCGCCACCAACACCCAGCTGATGGCCTGGGTTTGATCCTCAGAACCCACATGGTGTTAGAACACTGACTGGAGCAAGTTGTCCTCTGATTTACGCACAAGAACACACACACACACACAATTTAACACAGTGGTAGGGGGTGGATAGGGTGGTTGACCAAGGATATGGAACATTCTCACAGGTCACCTCCAAGGATATGGAACATTCTCACAGGTCACCTCCAAGGATATGGAACATTCTCACAGGTCACCTCCAAGGATATGGAACATTCTCACAGGTCACCTGGGATTCCCCCCAATACAAATCAATCCACCCAGAAAAGCAGCAGTCCCAGGCCACAGAGACGGCTCCCAGTAGCCCTGCAAGCATGAGCCTTGCAAGCCTTGCCAGTCTGTAAAAGCCTGGAGGTGGCAGCGTGC